CTGGCAAAACCCCAATACCTACATACAGCAGAAAAGCAGCCACCAGGCGTCGCTACAGTCGCAGCACAGATGTCGCGCGCGTCGCCAATCGCCAAACTACCGATTTCCATAAGGCTGCATATGTACAAATATGTAACGGAAAGTCGCCCTTAAGGATTACGCTTACATCCTTCGCTTATCAGGTCGATGGTTGGAAATTGGGAGGGTCTCGGCTATTTTCGACCACGGATATGCCTTTATCACATGATGAGGAACATGCTGATAAGCGTTTTATGTGTCATAACAGCACAAAAGTATTTTTAATCATTTTTCAAAAATAGCCGTTCTGCCGTATCTTTCAGTGCAAGGTGCCGTCGGTCATCCCCGACGTGACGTCACGCCGGGGATTTCCAGATTTTCCTACTAGACTTCGACGCCCCCTGATATGAACCACCTCTGGATGAATTTCAGGTCAGGGTCAGGTCAAGGTCAGGTCAAGTGAGGTCAAATTTTGAAGTTGGTTGTTTAGGCCTAAAAAGGTGTCTATCTGATGCAGTTTTTCACGGCGAAGCGAATGGTGCTATTTTTGTTTCCGTACGAGGTCTAGAACTTCCAAAACATCATTTTTTTAAATTTTGTGTGTCGTGACGTCATAAAATTTTGAATAACTCCCACATTTTTGAACCGATTCTTCTAAAAATTGGTATGTAGGTGCACATACATAGACCACTCTCTGACAAATATTCCGGTTTTTTCGATACATTCAAAATTTTGGATTTTATAATTATTTTCCCAAAAAGGCAGTTTTTTTAGAAAAAAATGGGCCAAAATCCAAAATTTTCAAAAAACCGAGATAGCCATTTGATAGACAAAGTATAACTTTTTTTACATCACGTATAACTTTTTTGTTACGTCTTGATTCCTTTAAAAATGAAGATGTTAGGGGCGTTTGAAATTTTGCCGTTTTTGAGGCAAAAATGGCGAACATGACGTCACTAAAACGTCAATTTCTCAAAAATTTTCGACGGATTTCGCTCAAATTTTCAGGGAACGTGTCAAATTGATGTATGATAAGGTACTGAAAGTTTGACGTCGCTGGCGTAATGCGTTTAGAAGTTATTGGCGAAAAACGGGAGGGGGGCAAATTCTGCCCCCCTCCCCAGCGGGGCGCGGGTTAAGTTATTAACACGCGCACTGCAGCGGGTCTGAGCCGAACACGAACTGCAGGGGGGTTGAAAACAACCCCCCTGAGATCTCGAAAACGGCGCAACGTAGCGACAAGCGGTAAACGGCGTTGGATAGGTTGAGATGAGATCTACTAGAAATACAAATATCATTTTTGGGTCAGGTCAAAAACGAGGTCAGCAGAGGTCACCAAACTCAAAATGTTGCGATTTTTTAGCGATCTCGACATCCCTCCATATTTCCCGCTTTATCTCGGGAACTAGATGAGCTAAAAAGTTGCGAAAAAGCATTCGATAGCTGTTGAAACGCTCTTTCGCTAAGCTGTCCTCAGATTTGACCTAAGGTCAACGGTTCAGCCTATAGAGGTCATGTAATGTCAGATCAATATTGCAAATTTTCCGGAAATGCTTTTTCTGCAATAACTTTTCTTCCCAAAGAGATAGAGAAATAATTCACACACCATCGTTCTTAGCTCGTCAAGGTGCATCGAATGGTATATAATATGACCTCGAAAGGTCAAGTTCAAAAGTTGACCTCAGGTCAAGGTCATAACCTGACCGAAATAGGTCATGTTGCATATCATTCGATCCGCACTGACGAGACAAACACGATAAACGTCGAACGGAGATAAAATAAGCGGGATGGTGAAAGAATGGCGTTTCTATGTCCCATACTTCTCGAGTTATGTCCGAAATTGCATGCCGGGCCCCAAAAAGTGACCTGACCTAAGGTCACAGAAATAAAAATTTCGAAATATACAAAATGTTCCTTGTGGTCTCCTAATATGTTTCTGAAATTTTCATAGCATTCAGCCAAATGGTGTGGATGTAGAACAGCGTCAAACTTTTTATGAGGTGGGGTCACTTATCGTGACCTGGTGACCTGACCTTGCATGACCTAACACTAATTTTTTTCAGAGGTGATGTAAAATTGTTTGATGGACAGCTATACAAAGTTTCAAAGTCGTGGCTTCACTGGTTTTTGAGTTACAGCGAAAAAACCAGAGGGGGGTTGAAAACACCCCCCCCCCCCTGCAGTGCGCGTGTTGGGGAGCATTCATTCTGGCCAGGGTTCATAATGTCCAGGGTACGTTATGCCCAGTGTCGAAATGGCCAGTGCCTTAAATGGGCCAGAGTTCATAATGTTCAGGGATTGCATGGTCCAAATGCGGCCAACTGGCTGCAGATAGGGTATATTCAAAGAGGCCAGGGTTCATAATGTCCAGGGCACGATGTGTCCAGTGTTCGAAACGGCCAGGGTTCATAATGTCCAGGGCACGATGTGTCCAGTGTTCAAAATGGCCAGAGTTCATAATGTCCAGGGCACGATGTGTCCAGTGTTCAAAATGGCCAGTGCCTTGAATAGGCCAGAGTTCATAGTGTCCAGGGATTACATAGTCACTGAAAGTGACGTCATTATGTAAAAAACACGGAACCAGCTCAATGCGAAGCAGTGCAGTGCCGAAGGCAATGCCTTAGGAGAGATTACAGGCAATAGTAAATCAAATATTTTTAGGTTAAGTGGTTATGCATCAGGCTTCAGGCCGAATCGCTTGCAATCTATTCATGCGAGAAACTATTTCCTTATCCCCGGTAGGCAAACATCATTACCTTAGGTTAGGTTAGGTTAGGTTAGGTTAGGTTAGGTTAGGTTAGGTTAGGATAGGTTATGTTTGGTTGGGTTGGGTGGACTATGTAATCCCTGGACACTATGAACTCTGGCCCATCCAAGGCAGTGGCCATTTTGAACACTGGACATATCGTGCCCTGGACATTATGAACCCTGACCATTTCGAACACTGGACACATCGTGCCCTGGACATTATGAACCCTGGCCATTTCGAGCACTGGACACATCGTGCCCTGGACATTATGAACCCTGGTCTCTTTGAATTTACCCTATCTGCAGCCAGTTGGCCACATTTGGACCATGTAATCCCTGGACAATATGAACACTGGCCAATTCAAGGCACTGGCCATTTCGAGCACTGGACACATCATGCCCTGGACATTATGAACCCTGGCCTAAATAATACGCACCCAAAACGCACATGGGGGGGGTTCCCTCCCCCTCCGCGCCATTTCGTTCCTGTTGGAGATAGAGCTTCGCGGTAAAGACCAGAAAGATTATTTGGGAAGAGACGAATCCAATGATACCCATTTTAACCTTCTCAGGTCAGTCATTGACCTTCCAGGTCAGGTCAAACTAAAAAATGTTGCTGTTTTGGATCACCGTTGGATATCAAGTGCGCTGCTTATCATATACCGATGACAATGCCGTTTTGTGGTGCAAGGCAAGCTAGAAATTCTTTTTCACACTATCCGACCAGGTTTTTGCTGCTGAGGTCATTTCAGGTCAAGTTAGGTCAAGGTCAATGATGTGTTAGTATGTCTGTGTGTGTCTCTGTGTGCACCCTGTATTAACCCTCGCCCGCACATGCCATTTTCACATCCTAGAACGCACATGGGGGGGGGTTGCCACCCCCCGCGCCATTTCGTTCCTGTTGGAGATAGAGCTTCGCGGTAAAGACCAAAAAGATTCTTTGGGAAGAGACGAATCCAATGATACCCAGTTTTACCTTCTCAAGTCAGTCATTGAGCTTCCAGGTCAGGCCAAACTAAAAAATGTTGCTGTTTTGGGTCACTCATACTCATACTCATACTCATATATTTCGGTTACATCCAGGAAATTGGGTTTTCAGTAAACCACGTCATACATTCAGTAGTTCAAAACTCATACCTGTACATACAGGACAGATTCTATAGAGGTTAAAACACACCACACATGATAAACTAACTGACCACATTGACCTAGCGCAGCCGGATTAAACATGCCGTTTCTTAACCTTTTTACGGAACGCCGCCAGGATGTCACCGTTGGATATCAAGTGCGCTGCTTATCATATACCGATGACAATGCCGTTTTGTGGTGCAAAGCAAGCTAGAACCTCTTTTTCACACTATCCGACCAGGTTTTTGCTGCTGAGGTCATTTCAGGTCAAGTTAGGTCAAGGTCAATTATATGTGTTTATATGTCTGTGTGTGTCTGTGTGTATACTGATGTGTGCACCGATTGTTTATGTGTCTATATTACATGAGATCATGAAATGAGAAGCTTTTACCAAAAATACAGTCAAAGAAACATCACGAAAAGTAAATTCAGCTTGCCTAAAACGCAATGTTTTTAGATGACCTAGGTTGACCTTGACCCTGACCTTGACTTAAGTACATCGTTCGTCTAACAGCATGTTCCATGATAGGTGGGAGGTAAGACTTGGTAAAAAAGGCCGAAATCAACGTGTCAAAAGCTCACAAGACCCATAGCCAACGCAAGATATTGGGTATTTGTCCTTTGGGTCATGACATGACCTGAAGAACAAGGTCATATCTCCGAAACCAAAAACCATAGAAACTTGAAATTTTCAGTGGACATCAAGAAAGGATAGAGGAGCAGCTATATGAAAAATCAGGCTTCTAGCTCTAAAAATGTTGAGTAGCTAAGTGCAGAGCAGAAAAACTACCTGGGGAGGGGATGGCACCACCCCCTTCCCCCCATGTGCGGGCGAGGGTTATCGATAGCGAGGTAGGCATTGCGTTGAGTACGCCGCTGCGGCTGTGTATACCTAGTACCTACCTCCTGTTGTGGTGCGCGCCGCCGGCTGCTGACAGTAGGTGTGCCGGCTGCTGCGGCTGTGTATACCTCCTGTTGTGGTGCGCGCCGCCGGCTGCTGACAGTAGGTGTGCTGGCCGCCGACCGCCGGCCGCTGCGGCTGTGTATACATCCTGTTGTGGTGCGCGCCGCCGACTACTGACAGTAGGTGTGCTGGCCGCCGACAGCCGGCCGCTGCGGCCGCTCGCCGGCGGCGCCGCCACGCGCGGCCTGCGCATCTACACCAAGACGGGCGACGGCGGCACCTCCAGCACGTTCACCGGGCAGCGGCTGCCCAAGGACGACGCCCTGTTCGAGGCGCTCGGCTCTGTGGACGAGCTGTCGGCCACCGTCGGGTGAGCGTCCACACCAGCGCACCAGCGCACGCACTCCCAAGCTTATGTATAAGGGCCCAATCTTATGTATACCTAAACGGCATGAAATGGATATGGCAGCACTGTAAGGCTCGATGTATAGCACGCAGTCTTATAAAGGCCGTGAGATCGAAAGTACGGCACGCTATTTTCTGTACTTGGTAGCAGTCGGTTTTTGAGGATGCCGTAGAATGATTTCACCCGTGAGCAGCTGCGCACATGTCATAACACCGACAATAACCAGTATAACGCCTTTTGGGGCGACTAACGGAGCGAGCGAGAGTGTGGGCCTTGCACGTGCGAAATTGCGAGGGGGTGCCTCCAACTGACTTGTGCACGGCACCCTTCTAATCGGTCTCTAGCGATGTGCCAAATTTGAGCACAATCGGTCCAGCCGTTCTCGAGATTTGGAAGCGGCACCCTGCACGTGCGCACGTGCAAAATGGGTCCCAACTGACTTGTGCACGGCACCCTACTAACTGCTCCGTAACCGTGTACCAAATTTGAGCGCAATCGGTCAAGCCGTTCTCGAGATCTGGAATTGACCCCTGCACGTGCGCACGTGCAGCAGCACCCCAACTCTGGCACATGGGTATGCATTGCCTAGTGGGTGCCTACCTACATGCCAACTTTCAGCGCAATCGGCCAAGCAGTTACCGAGATATTGCAACTATTACAAATGTGACACCTCTTCGTTTTGCACGTGGCACGTGCATAAGGGGTCACCCACATGCATCGGGAATAGTCCAATACTTGGTAGAAGGAATGAAGCTACCCTACAAAAATTACCGCATGTAAATCGGTCAAGTGGTTGCTGAGATATAAGCCTCGCAAAAGCGTGACCAGTGACCACGGCCGGCCGGCCGGCCGGCCGCTCATACTCAGAAATTTCCGTTATTCTACGTAAGACTCCGCTCGCTTCGCTCGCTCCGTAATCAGCTATTTGCGGCTTCAGCGGCATCCATTTCACGCCAGACTTTGCAGCGTACTTTGACGAGCTGCTTTAGTCTGTTGAATTGATGCAATATAAATTCCAAGTTTTTGACGATGTAAATATGCAATACCTTACATTATGATACTTTTAACCCGCCCATAACTGGGGTATTTTCCATAACGCGAGTGACAGGGTCGGGGGGAGGGGGAGGCTCTACAGAGTTCCCCAGCCCCTCCTATCTCCGAAACTACTGGGCTGGTCGTCAAAATTCAAACGGTGTCTGATTATGATAGTCCTGGAAAAACTGTCAAAGCGAAACTTAATTTAATTGACTTCGAGGTCACCGATAAGACGTCACTGGTCAGGTCAAATTAATTTTTTGAAGCATTTTGGCTTGTTCACAATTTAGGCTCTGGCCGCCGGCTTACAAGTACAGTCCACAGCAGAAGTAATGTGTGGTTTCAGTCATGGGTATGTTCTGCTTCTGAAGGCTAGGAACGATTAGCCAGACTGCAACGAGACTTTAAATGTAGCTTACATGTATCTTCACCCTTGCAGCTACAACTTTATCTATTGACGTCTTCTTTTCAATCAGTCCGCATTTAAAAATCGTCGGTCAAAGCCAACCGTTGAGATTGGTAAAACCACACATTACTTTAGCGGTGGACTGTACAATCAGGCTCATTTTTGGTTTACGCACTCCTTCATATATGCCTTAGAGGCCCTGAGGGTATCGGACTTGTACTTCGAATTTTTCATGTCAAGGCCAGGTCATCCTATATCACGGAAGTTTGCGCGTTGCAGGCTGAAATTTCAACTCCTTCGTGGTTGGGTCCAGAACTTTTTGAATCCCTTAACCCGCGCCCCACTGGCATGGGCAGCGCCACCATGGGGGGGGGGGGGACCGGTCCCCCGCTATCGAAAGTTAGGGGGGTACGGTACCCCCTATCGGCGAGGCCCGTTCAATAGTTGATAGTAGTGTGTTGCGGAGTTATCCGTCGCATTTAATACATCGTTGGTTAAGCAAGGCAGATTCTGAATAAAGATTGCTGCTGAAATATATCGCAGGTGGTCTTAGCCATTTGCTAAACATATAGCTGTATGGAGCTCTGGGCCCAGTTCATTTAGAGCCCCCTTGCTACTAAGTGACACTTATTGGAAAGGGCGACCAATCAAATGGGTTCATATAGCCACCCTTAGGTACAAACCTGCACCAATGTTCCCAAAAGTGTCTCTCTGATAAGTGGCACTTTGGCAAAGTGACACTTGCCGACTGGCTTTTCTATATGAATTGGGTCCAGATGTTAGTGATCGGCAGGCCCTCTGGGATCGTACCCTCCCCTCTTTGGGCGCCAGGCAGAGCCATTACCTGCCCCCCCCCCCCCACACACACACACACCTACCAGACCCCATTGTCGACACAACCAAGTTTACTGAAATTCCATAATACATTTCAGTTACCTACTAACTATATGTATATTTTCCATTCCTAATTAATCAAATTTTTATTTAAGTATGGCAGTTCTACCACAGAAACCATTTACAATGTGTGACATTTAACCCTAGCACTTATGGGGAGAACTGTTCGGATGGATCCAGGGCCAAAAGGTCACGCAGTAGCCCAAAACCTTACAATTGAGTAGCATCGACTCCCTCTCGTCAAGGGGAGAGCGCTCGTTTTTTCCGCAAAACTTAAGTTCGGTCGGAGGCCGAACGGCTGGGGGTCTAATCGAGCCCTCCTCCCTGGCTACACTATGCGTTTTCTGCGTGCGTTTTATGCGAGTTTGCGTGATTTGCGGAATATCGTTCTAGAAAGAAACGACATTAAGTTTTTGTTAAATGTTTTCATGTAAACTTTTAATTAATATAAACATTTTATTAACTTTTATATTAATATTAAAGAAGTTGAATTAACCCGCGCCATGATGGGGTCTGCCGAGCAACGCGGTCTGATGGGGGACCCATTTTGGCCTCCCCCTAAGATCTCGAGAACCACGCAACATAGCGGCAAGTAGTAAACGGCTTTGGATAGCCCTAACGGGGAACTACCTTGTGACCCAATTTCATTGACCTCGGTCAAACCGATGACGTCACAGGTCAGGTCAAAGGTTGATTTTTCACCGTGTTCAGGCATTTCAAGAAATGCGTCGTAAAATCGAGTAAAATGCATTTCATTGAAAATCATCGGTGGGGAAATGTTCTTCAAACACATATTTTGCTATTTGAGGTCACTGATACCAGGTCAGGTCACAGAGGTCAGGTCACCATGGGCGGTCACAATATGAAAGTGTCGTGTGATACATGTTTCATGGTCCATTTTACATGACAAATGCGAGTTTGTGGGTCAGGCAGACTTTTGGGCCAGCTTAGGTCACGTTTTGGTCAAGGTCAGGTCAAATTACGTCAAATTTCAAAGTTGATATTTTTGCATAAAATGGGTATCGATTCGATGCAGCTTGTCACGGGTAGTTCAATGGTGGTCTCCGTTTTGCGCTACGAGGTCTAGAATTGCTAAAAATTGAGTTCAAAAATTTGACGTCATCAATTTTTAACAGTTTTTTTTTTGCTATAACTTGGCCAAAAAAGAGGTATCGATCTAAAATTTGGTATGTATATCGAAGAGCGCAGGGACTATCACATATATTCCGTTTTCGAAATTCGATAATTTTTTGGATTTTTTTTTAGTTTTTCTAAAAAAAACATTTTTTTTATTTTTAGGGGTCAAAATCCCAAAATTTCGAAAATCTGAGATAGCAGTTTTTTAGTGCCGTCTTTTCTCTACACAACCACATAAAGAACTTTAAAATTGCTTGTTAACTGTAGAATTGGTGAGCGTTTCAAGATGTCATGTTTTTTGCTCATTTTTACTCGAACATGACCTCAGTTTGACCTCGATAACTCCTGACCTGAGGTGACCTGTGACTTGCAATTTTGTGTGTAGGTGTCAAATTGATGCCCGGTAAGGTACCCAAAATTTGGCGGCGCTGTGCGCCGCCGTTTTCTCGCTATTTAAGAAAAACCACAGGATGGGCCAAAATGCTCCCCCCCCCCCATCAGGGCGCGGGTTAATAATAACCTTTTTTCTGGAACGATATTACGCAAAACACGCAAACTCGCAAAAAACGCACGCAGAAAACGCATAGTGTAGCCAGGACTTTACGTCAGCGCGGCTGTGAAAATGCCATTACGGTTGATTGTTAAACAAAACATGGCAGTTGGGGCATTCTACGAAAGATCGTACCAGGCCCGTCACCCTCATCTCTCAGATTGTAATGAAAATGGGTCGTAGGGGTAATCATAGGCCCCAAAGACGCCTGGCAAAATATCAGACTTTTCAGATCAAAACTTTTTGAGTTGCATTAGGCATTTTTTTAACTTCGGTTTGTAACGGTGAGTTTGATGGCCTATAACTCAAGAACGGGTTAAAGGGACCCTCCCACCTTAAAAAAAGTTAATGAATTGGCATGAAAGTGATGTCGCTCGGTTCAGAAAGAGCAAAAACGAATATCTACCAAATTTCATCGAAAAATATTCACCGGTTTTCAAGATATTAGACTTTTACTTTTGTTTACTTTTTGGGATCTCCGCTGTTCCTAGCGACTTTATTTGAAAGTGCGGCATTTGTTGCGCGCAAAGCAGCATATACCACCGCGTGCTACAAAACGTTTTAGTCAAACATTTAACGGACGTTCGAAAGCCTGATGACGTCATCAGATTCCCGTAATGGTTAAGAGATAGGGACCACGCTGGTCCCACCCTGCAAGTAAAGGGAAAAAATTTCTTGAACACCATAAAGCTGCGGGGGTTGCGACCAGGATAAATGGTGGTTTCTGAGCCTGGCCACAAACTTGGCTATCTCAACTTAAAACTAATGTTAAGGTGGGAGGGTCCCTTTAAAGGGACCCTCCCACCTTCAAAAAAGTTAATGAATTGGCATGAAAGTGATGTCGCTCGGTTCAGAAAGAGCAAAAACGAATATCTACCAAATTTCATCGAAAAATATTCACCGGTTTTCAAGATATCAAGATATTAGGGGTTGCGACCAGGA